AGAATAGAATAGAATGCTTTTATTGTCATCATACACAAAGTACAACGAAATGAAAAGACAACTCCAGTGGTGCAAAATTCAAGTATGAAATGAAACAAATAAATTCTATAAATATATTTACAACAGGAGCCAGTAGGAAATATACACTTAGGAATGAGCATGACAACAACCAAACGGTAGAATAAATATATTGCATGTTGAAATAAGACCACTGAGGATATATGATAAATATATATCCCTGTCCAGGACACTGAAGCGTTCAGTACCTGTATTGCACTTGTATTGAATGTGTTTGTGAGCCTGGGAGTGCAGGCCTGGATGGCTCTGTACCTCTTTTTCCTGAGGGCAACAGTGAGAACAGGTTGTGCCCGGGGTAGGAACCATTGAAAGTGATGCTTCTGCCCTGTGCAAACATCTGGTGTCCAAGATGTCTGACTGAGAGGACAGCTGACTCCTATGATGTTCTGTGCTGACTATCTTCAAAGATGTTAAATGAGATCATTTCCTGTCCTACACTGTACAAAAAAAAAAGGAAAAAAAAAAGAAGTAATTTTACAGAAAAAGCACTGTAATTTTTATTTTATTTTATTTTTTTTACAGATTTTTCTCGTTTTCCAATAAAACAAGGAAAAGCCTATTTTTTTCTGCAATTTTAGGTTTTGCTCCTAAAATCACCATCAGTTAACCATAATTTAGGATTACATACAAATTATGTGTTTTTTGTAGACAATTCATTGTGTTTCTACATATTTAACTGTAATTAGATCAGGATTAGGATCTCCCAGCCATGCAAGTAAACAGACTGAAATATTCATCAACAGTTTCTCCTGCACAGGATGTATTGCCCACATTAAATGTACGCTGAACTGATTTTTAAAATTTGTTGAATTTGCAAGAAGTGCTTACAGAGTTTATTGGCCCTGACTTGAGTTCAAATATTGCTGATCTTCATCAGCTGCTCCTGTGCTTCATAGGTGTGTAACAGTGTACAGCTCTCAGTATGCATTCATTACATAGCAATAAAGACCTCAAAATTATTCTAACTGCACATATACAGGGAACAAGCAGATTCTGCCAGTGGTGGCTGGCTGTCATAAATTAAAAAAATATTCCATGGTCTAAATTATTTCTTGTTCTTTTTTTCGATACGTAAATAACATTTTTTTTGGAAGTAATACACTATATTGAACAACTGTATTAAAAAACTGCAAAATAATTTACATTTAGAGATTGCCTTAGCTGTTTGTTACATGTTCTAATATAGGATCCTTTCTCCGTCAAATGAAATTTTTGAAATATTTGTTCATGTTACTAAAATGACCGTTTAATACCCTGCAATTTACAGAGATTATCTTTGAATATCAGCTACCTGTTGATGTAATTTGATGTACAGTGTTGGATTTTTCATTGTCCAATTCTCTGAAATGACTAAATGTGTAGAAATGTCTATTTAATTAAAATTTTGTTGTTGTTGTTGTTGTTGTTTTTTACATTTACACATTGTCATTGTTTTTATTTAAATGGGGAAACCACAATTTTACAGCAAGTCAGTGTAATGTAGACAACACTGATTGTATATTCAAATGTATTCAGTTTGTTTGTTTTACTATCTAATGATCTTTTTTTTTTTTTTTTTTTACAATCTAGGAATTCTCTAAAATGATAGATTAACACTGTAAAAAAAATCTGATTTTTTATCTTTGTTTTTTTGAACTTTGTAACTGTACATGGGAAAATAGTATTTTAACAAGACATTACTGTAGATAGTCTTTGCTGTTTTGTAAGGTAAATAATGAATATTGTAAAATTACAGAAATCCATCTGAGAAGTATCACATAGTTATGTGTTTTGAAATAATAAGTCTGTTATTTTACAGTCTATTGGCAATATATCAACTTCAGTATTCTGTAATTTCATTCATTTTAACTATAAAATCAACTTTGTATTTTTACAGTTCATAGTATATAATTCTACAAAACTGTTATTTACTGTAATTTTACGGTATTCGTCTGGAAACTTTGCTGCCAGTATGTTTACCTTTTTTTTTTTTTTTTTTTTTTAACAGATTTTATTTTATTTTTTTTACAGTGTACCTACACTTAGACTGAAATATTAATATCACTTCCAAGTAACAGTGATTATTTTTGTATGTAATGCACTGCAAAGCAAAGTATTGTCAAGTATTTATGACACTGTTAAGCACATCAAGTGACTTCAGTGTTTTCATGTATGTTTCCATTTATTCATTCAGTTTCTATTTAAATTTATAATACACTGAGGAATTGAGGCCTCATTTATCTTTATATCTAGCTTGCATCGTGCTCCGCTTTTGTCGGCCGGCCTTCTGTCTTGTTGGTTTTTGTTTAAAATTTCTTTACATTTTACTTCTGCTTCTTGTCTGTCTGTCTCAAATGGAAATAAAAAAAAGGAATTAACATAAACCAAACATTTTTTAAATTTGGTTTTCTCATTCTAAAATAATAAAAACAGAAGAAGAAAAAAAACATGTGGAAACATGAAATTGCAAAGACGAACTTTGTTTGATTGGTCATTCATTTTTGGATTCCAACACCTGAAATATATTTTTCCAGTTTTGGTTTTATAACAAAGAACAGAGATACGTTTGCTGGTTCACAGATTAAAAACCTTTTTCTGACCGTGGAGCACGTTTTGTTACTGATCAGTTTTGATTCGATGTTCACTGACTCAGACAAAAAAAACTTGCTGAGAGCGTGTATCTGACTCAAGAAAGCGACATTAAATAGTTAACTTCAGTTTATTTTTGCCACTGATACAGATACAATGTGGTTTTCCAGCAGGAAAGCAAACACCAAACCACAACAACCAAGCTCTCAAGACGCGAAAACGATGAAAAGAAGTGGTTATATAATCATAGGAAAACTGACCACTTTTATGGTATTTTGAGCTGAAATTCACGTTCTGGGAAAATGTGAAAAATATATATATTTTTGATATGAAGCAGATGTTTAACAATGACAAAACTCAGACACGCAAATACGAAGTGTGAACTTCACTGCACTGGCCACAGTGAGAGAAAGGATATCAAAACATCACATTTACAGACATTTAGACGTCCAGAGCTGCTCGTCAAGTCATAAATACCACCTCAAACCTCAAACAGCCTCCGACTGCTGTCTGAGCTGATATATGACTGTACTGCTGTGGAAACTTATCTGATCAAACATTTCACCAACTAGCATCCTGTCTCAGAGTGA